TCATGTGAAAAAAGCTTAAAAATAACTGAAGGTTCAATCAGAGAATGAACAAAATAAATTTATATTAATAAATAAAGAGTAAATCATTGTTTGAAATTGTTTTAACATTAGTCTAAATGTTCAAGGCTGGATGTATATACCCATTGTTATGATTTCTTCAAAGATTCTTTGTGTCGTTTTAGTAGAAATTCTACATTTGATAATCCTTAAATCGCGGTTTGTTTACGGAGTTATTTCTCAAAAGCTAGGATAAATTCAGAAAATAAATTTATCTACTTTATCAATTTATATATAAATTATAAATAATTTCATTTCACTTCACTGCTCCACTAGAGCCCTAATGACCCTGAATTTAATCCCTAAAATACCTCAATAATCTTCAAATACCCTTCAATATCCCTACCTGGTTTTACCTGACAGTTTACCAGACAGTTTACTCGTATTTAATCAATGATTTACCTGTATTTTTTTTTATATAAATAACAATCAATAAATAGACAAAGAATACAGTCTTTCTTTATTTTAATGAAATTTTTGTCACAGGTTACCACAATATTTTGTTATTCTATATTTTTTTATTTTATGTGGGAAAATATATTTTCAATTTCAGTCAACCTTGCTATTGTTATCAGAACAGGAAAATATTATCAGCTTTTTGAGAAAATCGACAAAAACTATATATTTGTAACCTTATACAGACCCATATAAACCAATATCACTAAAACGGAAAAAAATTGTTATTTCTCAAGAATCGGATTTTTAAGATTATATTTCTTCGTAATTTTGCCCAAGATCCATAAAACAAACTTTGTCTTTTGGTCCACAAAACTTTCTTCATTTTTCAACAGAGACATTCAACTTTGATTTGGACTTATTTATTTATTGGTTTACGTTAAAGTTTGACAGAGACAGAGTTTGGAAATTTGACTAAATAAAACATTAATATTTATTTTCTTAACATTTGTTGTTTTTTGTGCTACGAAAACAGGGAAAACAATAGTCTTATGTGAAATTTTTACTTAGGAAAATTAGTTGGAAACATTCGATATGTTTTCACGTTTTGAAACTGTAACATTTCTCACAAGAATTTCATAATTTAGAATATAAAATCTGTGTAAAATGTAAAGATAAGTTTGTTTATATTACAGACGACATGTTGTTGGTGTTAGATTTCAATCCATCATCTTCAAAATACACTTTATAGCAAAATAAAACAACTTTAATAATGCCTGAATATTTAAAGCTGGAAATTTGTTAGAATTGTTTATCTAAGATTAAGTATACTTAGCATCCTATTGTCGTCTGCACTAGACGTCACATCAGACGTCACTTCAATTTTCGCGCCTAATCCGTTGTCGTCTGGTTTAAAGTAAAGGCCCGCAGTAAATATTGTTGATATTAGAGATAAATGGCGGTATAATGTTACACTATTAATTTGGGGGTTTGACAGAAGATGAAGTAGTAAAAGGGCTGGTTACAAGTGGAAACGATATGGGCGGTAAATTAGGGTGTGGAGTCAGTGACGTTTTATACCAGAGGGGGGTTGAGAGGAGCGGGGGGTATGACCACCATAGAAATGAGATTTTAGGATCTTACAACTAGAGATTGCTGTTAGTCCCCTTGACGACTCCGTGGTCCCTAGAATCGCCCCGGACTGTTGTTGGTCATACTAGAAGTTCTACGTACTGAGTGGTCGTTTGATATTGGCAGTCAGTTAATAAACTTTACAATTCAACAAAATGATAAACAGAACATTGTCAACTTATGGTATCTTTTTCTTTAAATGTCATTTTTCAAACTGCTCATCTTTTTTTTTTACATATTTTTCAACAATTCTTATTGTTTCTTATTACTCAAATAAATAAATACTATTTTAAGTTAGTGTGCTAATAATCCAATTAAATAATTAAATAATTAAATAATTAAATAATTAAAATTTGTAATAATCTCATTCTTTGAAGACTTTTATCAGTAGAAATATCAATTTATTGAGAATATTGAAATGAAATATTTAGATTTTCTGTAATTTGATCATTGGAACAACACATTGTGGAGAGAAATTGTCAGAAATTGGGTGAAAAGCGACAAAAATATGATAAAATCGACTGAATAATAGATTATTACAATTTGGAAAAATTAAATTGTACAATTTCTGTTTTTGATCCTTTATTGATAATCTTCCAGTTTTTGTTTCAATCAAAATTGACAATTTCAAGCAAGTTTTACTGTAGAATCATATCTTTCTTTGATTTAAGGAAAATTAAAAAACGAACTTTCTGAATCAAACTGTTAGTGCAAGAGAGGTCAAATAATTCAATTGATTTGAAAATATATTTATTTATTAGGGGAGGTCTAATTATTTTCAATTTGACACTTCGTTCCTTAACATTGCAATAAATTCATTGTATTTTTGCTTTTTTGTTTTTCTGTTAAAATATTGAACGTAAGACCCATTTGTAATTAAATATTTTGATACCAGTTACTTCTCCATCTTTAGTGTACCTTATCGTCTTAAAAAACAACTTGAGTTATCTAAAGATGCGAGAGCATATCTTCTTAATGTCTGGGTCGAAAAAATAAATGGAACTTTACATGATAATGCACGTACATTTAAGTTTTTTTTGTCCTAGTTTACCTGTCGTTATTAACCAGAGACAAACAAAATTGGAAATAAAACCTAGCTGAATCAAACATGAAGACAATGCAAATAGAAATATATAAATTATCTGCACAAGACGACATGGCTCACTAGCAAACAGAAGATATGAAGCTAGATAAGTGACTTATTGACACTTTTGTTACAATATTAATAACGTAACCTTGGTAACAGTGTCAATATTCCATAGTTACTGATGAATATTTTATTATTATCAATTGTCAAATTCTCTATTTTTTACAAGAAATGTGTGTATTTATTTTAACTCTGATAAAATATTAAGGTAAAGTGATATGTGTTGAGTTCGAAGGAAATCAGCTGGAAATATCGATACAATGTTGTACAATATATCACAATGTTGTGTTTGAAGTATTAAAATATATAACAATGTAGCATTATAACGTCATTAGCCAATCATAAATCCTTAAATATAATTCAAATTAAAAAATCTTGTTTTGTTTTTCTCTTCATTGACTGCACTCAAAATTAAAAAGAATATTGTATATCGTGTATTTTAGATAAAAAAAATAATCAAGATTTGTTTGAAATCAAATCAAATGAAGGCAAATGATCCAATCAATTTACTGTATTTCCTGTTCGTAAAATTTTCAACAAAATTTGAGAATGAAATTAAAACAGTCATCAATTTAAACTCGTTTTTACTAAAACTATTAATATAAAACTTATCTTACAAAAATACACTAAAACAACAATGTGAAAACCGACATTAAACCATCAAAACCCAAATTCAGAAAACAAATTTTCCAATCTTACAATTATATAGGACCGGTTTGTCAAAATATTAATATTAATACACATAGAAACTCCACATTTATACGGAGAAATAATTATTCAGAATTCAAAAATCACAAGGTAAAAAAAATACGAATATTTCCAAGTCAAAGGTGTTTTGGTGGTGAAAAACCACCACATTTTTGTGGTTTTGTGTGTGCATGTTTTATTATGTAGTCTTAACTACATAACATCAAACTAGAATTCGGCTCTTGTGATACACTGTTACACAGTATTGTAAAAAAATAGTTGAGCAAGATTGCTGATCCTTTGTGAACAGACAATTAATAGAAATGTGACTGGTTTTGGGCGAAAAAGAATGTAGTCCACTCTAAGAATCATCTAAAATTTTTGCTTACACTAGGTGGACTCTGAATTAACGATATTTCAGAGTTACAGAGCACATTAAAAACCTAGGGCAATTCTATGAAATACTACTAAAAAGTCTAATAGAAACCATTATGCAGAATTATGTGTCGCTTCCGGGGCAGTGCATGCTCGGCCTTGTAACTGTATCAGTCATCACAACATCCTTTACCAAGAAACCAAATAAAGATATCTTATATCATTTCATTGAACACTACTGTGACAATAGAAACCATCCTTGGTTTGTGAAGATCGTCATCGAATATAAAAACCAATTGTATCACATCTAAGTTTACCTGGTAGATCCTTTTGTAAATTTTCCCCAAGATAAATACATAAACATCTAAATTAACTAAATGGCCCCTTATCTTCTTTTCTCCATTCAGATATTACATAAATATTTACTACTTATATATAATATTAGAAAATCAGGTACAACATCTTAAAGTTTACCTGGTACATTCTATTGTTAGTTTCCAACTACGTTGATATTTGAAATAACTCAACTTTAATCTCCCCCCCCCCCCCCC